ATTCTTCACTACTTGGTGTGCAAACTAATTTTTCAGACATTTGTGTCACAAAAAATATTTGTTGGAGTTTTCCTTATGCTATGTGTTGGTTTGTTAATTATAAATATACAGAAGTATTTTAAGATATTACTTTATTAATTAATATATAATTCTTGGTTTATTATTTTAAAATAATAGATCATTTGTGATTGAATACAAAAAGAATAAATGTCCACAAATTGCGATTAAAAATGAAAACACTCTGCACACAATTTTTTATGGTCCATTAAATTTCCCTATGACAAAACAAAATCTATAACATTTGAACAGTCTTTTAAGTATGTACCTACATAAACAAGGTAAGAGGCTATTTCTGAGCTTGTATTAAGTAACACTTTTGGATTATTTTCATTATTTTTATTTTGCTTATTTATGACTTTTTAAGATGGCATATAACTGTGCTACCTCGGTTGTTCTCAAACTTGTGGGCTCAAGTGATCTTCCTACCTCAGCCTCCTGTGTGGCTGGTACTACAGGCATGTGCTACCTCCCCCAATTTAAGGTTATTTTAATGTGATGCTTCTATTATTACTCCCAAGAAGAAAGGGGGCAAGTGATAACCCAAGGTGTAGAGGACAAGGGAAACCTGAGATTTGTATTGTTGAAGCTCAGTGTTACTCCTGTGCATTGGTAAGTCACACTATGCTCATAGAAACCTAGAACCAATGCAAATCCTAGCTTTGCCCAGTACAGTATTTCATCTTCATGAAAAGATGATCTGGAATTTAAAATGTCTTTCACCAAGATTGTAACACAAGGATAGAAAAACTAACAAACAGACCCCAAATTTCTCTACTGTATCATTTGCCAAATGATTCTCAAAGTAAGCCCCCTGTCATTGCCTGTTTGCAGGTAAAAATGTTTGTGCTATATAAGAATAGCTACTCCTGCTCTTGTTTTTGGTTTCTGCTTCCATGGAATATTTTTGTCCATTCTTTCATTTTAAGTCACTGTGTGTCATTACCAGTGAAGTATATTTCTTATAGGCAGGTTATTGCTGAGTCTTTGTTTTCCCTGTTCAACCTGTATCAATCTTTTAAGTAGAGAATGTTACCCATTTACGTTCCAACTAGTTATCGCTAGGTAAGAACTTACTCCTGTTGTTTTGTTAATTTTGTGGTTGTTTTGTATATTCTTTGGTTCTTTCCTTCCTCTCTTGTTCTTTGTGCTTTGTTGATTTCTGTATTGATAAGGATTGGTCATTTTAATCCTTATCTGAACTACTATTAAGTTTTATACTTTCTTACATTTTCTTGAAAGTAGTTATTATCCTTTTATTTTGACGTAATTTTGATGCATTTGTTGTAAGGCTGGCCTAGTGATGATGATTTGCTTCAATTTTTGCTTGTCTTGGAAAGATTTTATTTCACTTTCCGTACTCTTAGTTGGCAGGCTTTTCTTTTATTTGGTTTTTACTTTTAGGGTTTCAAAGATATTGTCCCAATCTCTCCTGTCTTAAAAGATATCTACTGAGAAATTTGCTGCTAGTAAAATAGAGACTTTTGTGTATGTGCTTTGATGCTTTTCTATTGTCATTTTTAGAATTCTATGCCTTGGACTTAAAATATTTGACTACACTTGTCTCAGAGAGTAATTGATTTGGCTGAATTTTAATTGGGTCCTTTAAGCATCATATGTGAGGTTATCCACATCTTTCCCAAGATTTGGGAAGTTTTCAGCTAGCATTTCAATAAAAAATTTTAGTATACCTCTCCTGTCTTTTTCTACTGGATTCTCTATAATATGAATGTTTTAATCCTTAATGGAATCCCACCAGTATCTAAGGCTTTCTATATTCTTTTTAATTTTTCCTTCTTCATACTTATGTGGGTGGTAAGTTAAAGAAGAGAGAGAGAGACTGAGTTATTTCAAAAGTCCTGTTTTCAAGTTCAGAAATTTGTCTTCTGCTTGACCTATTCTGTGGTTATTGAGAATCTCACTTGCATTTTTTTTAGTTCATTCATTGAGGTTTCAGCTCCAAGAGTTCTTTCTAATTTTTATTTTTTTAATCTTTGTTTATTTGTTTTTATGTGGTGCTGAGGATAGAACCCAGGGACTCATACTTGCTAAGTGAGCACTCTACCGCTGAGCCACAACCCCAGCCCCTCTAATTGTTTCTTAATCATGATTATTACCCTTTGCTGAATTTCTCATTCATATCACATGTTGCTTTCCTGAATTCATTGAAATGTGACCCTATATTCTCTTGTATCTCATTGATTTTGTTTAAAATCATTATTTTGAATTCTTTCTCAGGCAATTTGTTGGTTTCATTTTCTTTTGGCACCACTGGTAGACAGATATTGTGTTCCTTTAGAGATGTCATGTTTCTCTGCTATTTAATGCTTCCTATGTCCTTATGTATGTTGATATCAGTACATCTGATAAATCAAATGTGTTTGCTATTTATGAGATGGCTTTCATAGCAAAAGACTTTATGTGGTAATGTGTCCTAGGATGTTGTTTGGGTAGGCTTATGATGGCTTTGGTTAATGTTAGGAATGTAGTTTCTTCAGTTCTAATCAAGACCAATGATGCCCATGAATGTCTTGGTGAGTAAGGCTAGACAGGATTGAGGGATTGTTCATTTAGCTAGAGTGCAGCTTTCTTAGGTACAGTGGATTCACTACCAGCTCTGATTGTGGTACATGAAGTTGCAATTGTGGGATGTCTCTCAGTTTCTGAGGGCACAGAATGGTGGGGCTACTTTGGCAGGTCCAAGCAAACAAGGTACAGTTGGTTGGCATGTCAAGATAGGCAGAGCACCTATAAAATATGAAGGCTGTGTGGGAAATAGGATTCTTCTATTGGCCTTGGCATGCATGGCATGGTACTCTTGACAGTAGGAACAGGGTATCTGTTAGTGTCTAAGTGCTATAGGGTGGCTGGACTGCACCAGTGGTAAAAAGAATGGTTCTTTTCTGTATCTTGAAGGCTTAAGGTACCTTTGTGGGTCAGTGACAGGTCAGCCATTCAGGAAAGGACTCCTAGGATGTGGGTAGATGGGATGGATCACTCAAATTATTTACTGGGGCCACAAGAGAATAGACTAATCTACTCTGCAACTTCTATGTATCAAGGATGTAGGCTAGACCAGGTTTGCAGGCCTCAGGAGGTTAGGAAGGGCCATGTAACTACTTCCTGGGATTGGGTGGGCTATGGCATTTGAGTGCAGGCCACCCTGTAGATTTCTGGAGAAGAAAGAGGATGGACAAAACCATATAGTTAATTCTCAAGTGCCAGGTAATCTGAGTTGCTAGTGCAGGCCATCAGGCTGCTTTGTAGAACATGGGGTGTAGAGGCTCTCAAGGTGTTATTGTGCAGCATGTTTTGGGCAAAGAGGTTACATGTGGATCAGGCTTTTTCACCAGGACGATGAAGTGGCAAGGACACACAGCAGCACTCCAAACTGGGCTCAGCTGAGAGCTGTTATACTCAATGATGAAAGAAAGAATGCTTTTCCTGGAGGATCAAGAATAAGACAAGGTTGTCTAACTTTTTACACTTCTTCAGGATAGTACTAGGAAGAAAAGTAGCACTTCTGCTGTGCAACTAAACAAAAAATAGTAATGAAACAATCCACACTGGGAAGAAAGAAGATCATCTCTATGTAGATAGCATGATAGAGCATGTCAAAACCCCTAAACCCTCAACAGAAAAGCAGATGTAATAAGTGAATTCATCACGGCTCAAGGGGATTGAGTATAACTTCTGACCAAAAATAGGCTATACAAATACCACTCTGAATATCAATAAGGAGATAAATTATATCAAAGAACCAAATGGAAATTCCTGAAATGGAAAGTATAATCACCAAATTTTTCAAAAATCATAGAGGAGATCAGGAGAAGATTTGAATAAGGAGAAAAAAAATATTGGCAAAGTTGAAGATAGAGATGACAAAATCTGAAGAAATAGAGAAGCAAAACTAATAAATCTCTTGCAAAATATATAATCCAGTATGGAGTAGTGGGATGAAATCGTGCTTCAATTTATAAATATTGAAAACAGCTCTTTGAACATTATTTGGATGAAATTTTCTTTTCCCTTGCTCTGCACTCCAATAATAGGAATTATGTAATTTTTCACATATTCCACACACCTGTTGCCTTCTTATTTTCATGGTCTCTTTTTATATGCTTCACTATGGGCCCTTTTCCACTGACTTGTCTTCCAATTATGTAATTTTGTATATCTGATGCAAATTTTAAGCAGTTCTCACAAGTATCCAGTCTCCCTTTGGCTCCCCTAAGGGCTGAAACTCCTAGGGAGGACTGCAAAGAGGTGTGATTTGTGAGTTTCCTCTTTCCATTTCACAGAGCAGAGTGAAAAGGGAATGGGTTTGGAATTGTGAGATGAATAGTACATACACACAATCACACACACACACTCGATCCATCAATGCAATTGGTGTTTGCTCAAGAACTACAACTATTTCCATGAAAAATGAAACTCTAGGGCTGGGGTATATTTGGTGGGTGAATGCTTGCCTAGTTGGTGCAAGGCTCTAAATTCAATCCCCAGTACAGTTAAAGAATTTTTTTTTAAAAAAAAAAACCACTAAAATTGCTGAAATAATGAGAAGTGGGAATGTGCTAGGAATTACATATATTAAACAATGAATGTTTATGGATACTGAAGTTCTCTGGAACTTTATGCAGTAGTTTTTAACATTTGCAATAGCATTTCTACCACCAATATATTAAAAGTTAATGGACTGGAAATTTCATCAAGGATTGGGATTATTTTCTGAAAAATGCAAAATATTGGTCTTCTGTCTCAGGTAAAGTTTAAACATTGAGTTCTTCTGCCTTAGGTTAAGGTGAGGTTTGAGCACCCTGCTGTTGCTTCACAGGTGAAGTATTTTTTACCCATCTCTTTCTTCTCAGGTGAAGTTTTCACATGTTTCTTTTTTTTCCTGGGTGGTGCTTGATGCATCTTTATAAGCAAAAGTAACAAACTCATAAACAAAACCAAAAATGGAAATAAAAAAAAGGTCCCTTCCTCTTTTCCATCCATTCTTTCACTCTTTTCCCAGGGGGTGGGCCACTGTCAACACTCCCTCCATAGCCTTTGTCTGTGCAGTTTGGGGGCTCCCAATTAGGGTCACAATGGCAGTGATGTTTGTTGTTGCAGCTCCCTTTCATAGCACAGGTCTCTGGTGAACAATCACTTGCCCACAATGACATAGAGACACACTTCCGGTGTATGCACACTTGTCCATTACCACACTCTGTGCCATCTTTCACATCACCAATATCTGGTATGGTCATCCCAAAATGATAGTCGGTACCCCAGCAGGTCACACCATTGATGTCAATCCAATGCACAGTAGTGTGACTTCTTAAAAAGGGAATTTCTTTCACATTCTCACACTGAACTCTTCCACAGAGGAAATCTGACTTATTACACCTCACATAGTTCTCACCAATGAGACCACAGTTACCAAAGCGGTCACCTCGGCTGTTCATTTCTGTGTAGCAACTCTCCTGTGCACTCCTGGATTCTTTGCCAAAGATCTGTCTGCACTGTTCGTCACGTGCATTCCATCTCTTCTCATGGCAGTAGCCACTGTCCATGCAACAGACCCCATCCTGCACATACACATCTTCTGGACACTCAGGTGAGGTACCACTGCACCACTCTGGAAGATCACACTCACTGACATTTTCTCTACACACTTTACCTGGTGGCAAGAGAAGGCAGTCTTCGCAACAAAGCCCAGAAGCACATTCAGTCCCAAATTTCAGAGTGCAGTTTTCCGAACAACATGGATGGTTTGAACACAAAGTTGGGGATCCACAGTCACACTCCTCTCCTTCTTCAACCACATCATTCCCACAGCCAGTCCACTTCAAGATGTCTTCTTGTTTTGGTGCACTGCGCAAACAGTTCATATATTGAAAGGTTTCCCACATTTCAGCATAACTGCAGTTGCTGAATTTAATGCCATTTGATTTTTCTGGATACATGATGCAAATAGTATCCCCGCATATACATTCAGGTTCATCATGCAACATACCCAGATTATGACCCATTTCATGTGTTATGGTAAGTGCAAATTCATGTAAATTATCTCCCAGGGCACGATTCACTCCACATTGCAAACCAACATCACATACACTTCCCACATAGGCTAAGCCAAGATGTATTTCAAAATCTTGTTTTGCCAAAAAATGTGCAAGGTCATTTTTTAGGCGAGGATCAAGACTATCTTTCTTCCAGCTGCAAAAGTGCTGCAGGACAGTGTATATGTTGTTAGTCACTTCAAAAATGTTCTTTTCATTCCAGACTTCAATTCCATGTAAACTCAATTCAACATCCACTTTACATAAAAGGGAATGTACAGTATTGCTAATGACAAATAATTCCTCTATCACAAGTGAGACATTACTTTTCTTATAAAGGTATTGCTCATAATCTACAACAAAAACTGCTTCAAGATACCATGTGTGGGTCCACCAGCCTTCATAACCACTTTGCCTCAGAATGGAATTATTACGCCTTTGGAGCTTTAGTTGTCGTGCTAGTTCTTCTTCTGTTAGTCCACATCTCATGGGTGGGAATTGTGTCTTCTCTCTGTCCTTCTTATAAAGCAGATGTTCAAATGTGGTAGAAAGTCTTTTGGGTTTGATTTCATAAACAGTGTCATGGACCTCTAGTATTCCTCGAAAGCCCCCCAAACAGGTGCTAAGAGCAACCAGGGATTCTGGGTTCCCTTCCACATAGCCATCATAGTAGCAGTCACTCTGGACAAAAGGGTGGTCCTCAAGCAGAGCACCCTGCTTTGTGTAGGTGAACACAGAGAAGGGTTTGGACACCAGAAGTTTCTTGGCTTTCATGTGGACAATGTGTTTCTTGCCTCCAAAGTGAAGACTGTAGGAGATCCAGTTAGGGGGCCTCATGGCTCTATTGGTGCCATTTATTCTCAAGGGTATCACTACTTCTGGGGGGCTATGGTGTTGAGAGTGGCCAATCTGGGCCCATCCAGAAAGGAAGAGCAAGATGCTCAGGCAGAGGTGTAGGACAGTGATCCTCATATGCACCAGGGCCTCACCAACAGCCATCATGGTTTTTGACTAGAGGCAAAAGGGCAGAGAAGGAGATTCTATTGTCCTGTCTCCTTCCTTTGACTTGGTTGCAAGCAGCACTGACCTTTAGTGGGATGTCTCCTTCAGAGTCAATCCATTAGAACAACACAACTAAAAGAAAAAATGAAAAGAAGGGCAAAGATGGAGTGGCTAAATTATCAACAGGCCAAGATGGAGGAGAACAGCAGGGTATGGGCTCATATGCATTAGAGTTTAGTTTAGGGCATGACTAGATATTGTGTACTGGATTTGCTTTTTAACTTGGTTAAGGCAGAATCAGATGGTGGGGGTTGAAAAGAATGACAACCGGCTACAGGTTGGTAGTTGGCAGACCCCGATGTAGAACATGTGGGTTCATGAACTGTTCTCTAAATACATGAATACATAGAATATTTTCACAATAAATATTTAAAACAAGAGTCTGAATGAAAAAGTGAATATATACCTTGTTCTGGTGAGGGAGTATTGATTTATACATATTGATTTTGAATAAGAACAATAGATTTTTCTTCCTATTTTGAATGACTATTTACACACGTTACTCAGGAGAAATATGTAAAACAATTCTCACATATGTTAGTTTTCTCCATGGTCCTTAATACAGACTTCCATGCAAATAATTGTGATTTGTTGGGTTTTCCTCCAGTCCTGTCAGATTTCAATGTCAAATCATCAGTTGTCCTTCAAAAGTATTATAATCTGATTTTAATGGATACTTTCAGGCATTAAAACAAGAAATTGTGGAATTGTAAGGCAGAATAACTTGGGTTGATAGATTTCACTCAAAGGTGTTTATATGTGATTATACTCATACAAAAAATAATATTTTTCAAAGTCTCTGGCCCTATTAAAAGAAAAGGATATCAAACTAGCTAGAAGAGTAACAATTGGAAAAGGGAAGTTACTAAAAGTAAAATAAAGTACCTTCAGAAATGCAAAGAAAATCAATGAACCCTGAGAGGATGGAGGAAAGCTCCTGGGTAGGTGATGTTGTACCAGAACAAAGGCATTAAAATCCCTGGCATTTCAGGATGTGGAGGAAACCAGCTCCAAGATCAACCTTCCAATGAATTTGTCTCAGAAATGACAACACATACAAAAATACAGTTTAAACAATAATTTGATAGTACAAATATCCTATGATGAATGAGTGCAAATGAGAAATCTGATAAAAGCACAGTTCCTGGCTGATAATACTGATTTGTTGCTTTGTTATCAAGCAAAGTAGGAATGATGCTGCAGAATATGCACATACTACACAGCACACCTGGGAAACATCAAAGGATGATACAGGTTAATGAGGTGGAACATAAATTTATAGTGTTTCTAGCAAAGATATACTTAAGAATCTGCTAGATTGAAAATTCAATAATTTCCATATAAAATCCTGTTTTTCTTGACCTAGTGAGAATATGCATAGTTTTCTTGACATCATTACAAAAATAATATCCACCACACTAGTTGGGGGAGAAAGAACAACAGCAGCAGCAGAGGAATGTGGAATCTACAACGAAGGATCTAAAACACACTGATCAAACACCACTTCCCACAGTAGGAAATTCAAACACAAAAGTGTCTGGATTCAGCACCTGTTGCCTCCTGGATCCAGGACACATTTTTTAAAAATTATTTATTTATTTATTTATTTATTTGGTACCAGGGATTGAACTCATGGATACTGGACCACTGAGCCACATCCCTAGTCCTATTTTGTATTTTATTTGAAACAAGGTCTCACTGAGTTGTTTAGTGCCTTGCAATTGCTGAGGCTGGCTTTGAACTCATGATTCTCCTGTCTCAGCCTCTCAAGCCACTGGGATTACAGATGTGCACTACTGCGCCCAGCCTCTCTTCAATTTTTATTTGATCTTGATTCTAAGTTCTTTAAAGTTTTCTCTCCCTCTAAAATCATTTTCCTGTCACTTTGGAATCGTCCACTCACGAAACATAGAAGCAGTCTCTCCTCTGTTAACACTTCTTAATGGAGAACTCCTTTTTCATAGTTAACTTAATTTTATAAATCAACATTGGGAAGCCCACCAGGGGAGATGTCTTCTTTTCTCAAAAACCCCTGGTCTGACAGGTCAGATATTGAGTCGTACCTTGCTTTGGTTGCCAAAGCCACTTCAAACCACAAAAGTAGCAGCCATCTCCTTCCACCATTACCTACCATTCTTCCTAATTCTTTCCTCGACCTCTTGATCAATCCCACAAAAGCCAGGAAGTGTTGGGTGCCTACTGTTGCTTTCTTCTCCACCAATAACCTTATCCATGCTCTGTGTTAAGCAAGCCTGTGGGCAACCAAGTAACAAACAAGTGTTTGTTACTGTTACAACTTGTGCTCAACAGTTTTGAGCCATTGACTGAAAGCTGTGTCTTATATCAAGTCATCATGCTTAGCCATCTTAATTCTCACATATTAGTTAGCCATAACTTTATTCTTAAATAAAAGATATTTCCATGCTTTTAATAATCTGTGCCTTTTCGTTTACATGGTTTCCCGACTTTGTTTTTTCCCCTCAATTTCCTCATCAATGTGTAGGACTCTCAACTGAAAAATCAATATTGTCTTTGTTTTTATAATTTGTTATTATTATCAAATTTCCATCATGGTAATTTAAGTTGTAAGACCAAGAGTTCTTCATTTAATGCCTATTTAACACAGGATCAGGTAATTTTCTTTTCCTTCCTTTGTCACTGCAGATAGGAAACAAGAGACCTTTTTGAGGCTTAACACTATCCTCATCTTTAGAGTGAAGAGCACTTGATTTCTGGGGGAAGTACACAAGTATTATAAAAGGTAGACTAAATTCATGATCGCCAGAAGCCCACAGAAGTAAGCAATGTTAGTAAAGGACACCTTTGAGGACAATTTCCCCAAATCATGAGTAAAATTCTGAACGGCTTCTTTGCTGTCTGTAGTTCATCGTTATATGATTTAGTAATTATGCAGGTGTGTAGGTTTTTGCTGTGATGGAAAATAATCATTGATTACTGTGTGTGCATTTTTGAGAGTGAACCAAAATAAATCTGCCAAAATGTATTCTTAAGACCTCACCTTTCAAGCAGGTAATGGGAAAACAAACTCCAAAGAAATTTTGAGCCATCACATTTTGAGCCAAAATTTGACTATATTTTCACTCATTATATTTTTTTAATCACAGTGATTCCAGATGCTAAGGTCCTGATGGAATATTATATGCTCATTCACAAAGTAGAATAATGTTCTACTAGTACAGAGGACTCAAAGTTGACTGTCATATGCAAAAGATTCATCAAAACCATGTATCTCTGAATTACTACCTATACCTCACTCTTATTTATAGTCTAATTCATTTTCTTGAAACTTGAGTAACAATACATTAAAAATGATTTACAGTGTCCCCACCAAGTAAAGTAGAATAAGAAATGGTAAACTGCATAATCCTCTTTAAGATCTGAATAACTGGCAAGAAATCATGATTTACCTTGGGAGAGAGAGTTTGTGTTCATTCATGTCCTAATTTTTGAGTTTCTCTTCTTTAGAGCTAAACTCTTGAATGACTTACCAACAGATGAAGTGATGATTCCCATGATCATTTCCAGATATAGCCCTCTTCATGTCTAATTTCTGACACCCACCAACAAAGATTTTCTCGAGAACACTCATGACAAAAAGAAATATGAATCCCCTCCCCTTCAATTGTCTCTCATTTGATTGAGTTCTAGATTGAGCTTCCTAGCAACAAGAGTCTCTCAGAATTCAGAAGAACATAGCAACAACCCCAGATTCCTCTTCACTCTGGCTCCTTTATCTCTATTAAAGCTGGTTGCTACTTACTACTCAATATAAAAAGCCCTGACTTCCTTACCCTCATTGATTGTATTCTAATAACCATTCAATATGAATAAGACTCTTTTCCTTACTCCCATGTTCTTCATATACTCAATGCAGTTTGCTCATACTATGACCCTGGTCTCAGTTTATTTCAACATTGAACCATACTGTGGACCACTTGAAGGACTTTAAGTTCCAGAAAAAAAAGAGCCCATTAAAAACATTCTCAGAGACACCCAGACATCAGCATTCGTCTGCATATTTCTTCCTAAGAATGACTTAGAGACATTGTATTTCTGTAGCTGGATTCTCTTGCCTTTCCCCCCTCACTTTTATCACGAGTTCTTAAGGGACCAAACTTGATTTGATAGTTTTAATTTCTGTATTATTTTTCTAGGGTTGTAATAGCAAAGGTATACAATATAGCTTAACAACAAAAAAGAAATCCACTGTATGACAGTTTTAGAAGCCAGAAGTCCAACATCATGGTATCCTCAGGCCCCTACTGCCTCTAAAGTTAAGGAATGATTTAGTTTAGCCTTCTCTCCCAGCTTCTGGTCTGTAGCCACATCATTCTAATCTCCATTTATGGGTTTCCCTGTGTCCAAAATTTCCCCCTTTCCTAGGGACACTGAATTATATCAGATGACATGGATGCTAAGTCAAAAACTGACAAGGGACAAAGGAGGTCATCATGTAATGATAAAAGATCAATGCATTGGAAAGATATATACAATTATAAATATCTCTGCGTACAACATCAGTACACCTAAATATCTGAAACTTAGAAAGATCTAAAGATTAAATAGAAATATAATAGTAAGAGACTTCTTACTATTACAATATTACTATTAGGATAGTTTGAGTTCTTTTATTCCTATTCGTATCCCTTTAATATTTTTTCTTTTGTCACACTGCTGTGGCTAGAGTTTTGAGGATTATGTGGAATAGAAGTGGTAAGAGGGCATCCCTATCTTGTTCCAGTTCTTGGATGGAATGCTTTCAATTTTTCGCCATTTAGAATAATGTTGGCCTTGGGTTTATCATGTGTAGCTTTTATAATGTTAAGGCATGTTCCTACTATCCATAGTTTTTCTATATTTTGAGCATGAGTGAGTGCTGATTTTTTCAATTGCTTTTTCTGCTTCTATTGAGGTAA